AATGCGTGAATTGAGCTGCATGAAGAAACGAGATCAAAATATATTAAAGTTTCCAATTAAAAATGGAACATTTAAAAATAGGTCGCTTTATTGATAAAATTATTTCGAAATCACAAATTTGAAAATTAGTGAGAAAATTTTCATATAATGATAATGATAATGATAATGTATAACCAGGAAATAGAATATTTGTATCACAAGAATCACAACATTTATTGTGATTTTTTTTTAATATTTCAGATAAATGTGTTAATCTTTTGTTTCATAGAAAATATATTTAAAATTTTCCTGATTGAAATCTCTATGGTAGAAATCTTAATTATTTGATTTCACTTTTTGAAGTGGATTTGGGAGGCAAAATGGCTCAGTGGGTTGTTGATCAGTTCGGAGGGCAGATGCTGTGGCTCGATTTCCCGCAGGAGTAAGACCGTGCAAAAATCCGGGTGATGCTGCCAATTCACCTGTATTTCCATTGCCGAGGGACTTCATGTCATATCGCCCAGTGCTGAAAGCCAGTGAAGCGAGTTCAATAGGTAATGGCGAGGACTCGTTGAAAAAAACTGTGGGAATAAACTATTTAAGGCAGTAAAACAAATTGAAGAGAATTTTTTTTACCGCATGGTTTTTACTTGATTCATTTAAACAACCGGTTTACACATTTACACATCAATTGATTTTACAAACTTGTATTATAATTTTTATATTTGAAATTATCTCATTATTTGATAGAATTCTACGAATTTTTATAGGAATTCATGGCATACATATAGAATGATCGAGCAGAGACTAATACTATTTTATGAACGAAACGAACCGCTGACACGATGATTGGGCGATGATTTATGAAAAGGCAAATAAATATTTTCTCGAAAAAAAGCCACGTGGTAAGAGTGCAAAAATGAAAAAGTTCACTTTCTATTTCGTGAACTAAATTTCCAAATTTTTTCTTATATTGTCTGGTTTTTTTCCGCCAATATTTTTGGATTTTTTTAATATTTGTCTTTTTCTTTTTTTTATATTATTCTTTTTCAATAATTTTATCTATTCATCCATTATCTTTTTCTGCGCTTTTTTTCGCTAAAATTTCTCGCTCTTTCAGGAAAAAAAACTTGTTCTGCAACTCGCTCGCTCATTTTGTTTTTTACACTTCTAACTGTCGCATATAAATGTCGATGAAAAATGGTTTGCTAAACTTATTTGATTAAATCTTATCTTTGCTGAATCTCTTTTCTTTTTTTATTCTTCCTAACCATTCATTCATTTATGCAATAAATAAAATAGATAAACTGCGCAATACACATTATTGCGTAACAAATTTTTTATTGCCTTTTTTAACCTTTAAAATATATCAGAAAAAGAAAATAAATTTTAAATCATATTGCGTAAATTATAGTTATTATCAATTTATTACGATTACGACGTTAAAAGATTTATAAAAATCTTGCTTAACATTCTGCCTTTTTCATTTCCATTTTTTTTATTATCAAAATGATAAAGAAAAATTTTATCAATTTTTTATCAAAGTTTTATTTGCTCATCAACAAAAAATTGTTTCTGTTAATAGAAAACAACTTATTATTTACCCTATACGATAGATAAGATTGTATAGTCCAGTTTAGTGATACAGTTCGTCTCTTATCTCAAATACTAATAGCAATTACGAAGATGGAATATTCGTAAAGATCAAAGGCAAGTATATCGCAACAAACCTGTCGAAATTCGACACATCTATAAACGATCTAACGAACGAATGAATAATAGAAGGTTGTCGTAAAATGGTTAAGTTTCCTGTTACACAGCGCCAATATACCTATATTTCTCTATAATGCCAACTTTCAAATAAACATTTCACCACGTGGTATGAGCGTTGACGTCATTTTATTACAAAAAGAAAATATTTCGTATTAAAAAAACGTGTGCTGAAATACTAAAATGAGAACGGGCAGCGTACATTCCATTTTGCCTTCTTTTTTTTCACTATTTATTCCTCACTTATACAACGCAACTGATTTCTATTATCACTTTTATTTTAATATGCATTTTGGATGAAACTGTAAGAGCGATGGAAAAGAATCTTTCATTGCTTGCAAATATTATTATTACTTTTTATGAATAACTTGCGAAAATTGAAGAGAAAATTTTTCGAATCGCGTATCGCTTCGATATTATTATTCTCTCGCCCTCTTTGACAGGAGTAAACCTAACATTAAAAGTGAAATACTACGGGTCGTGCTGAGAAGTCACTGATACTTCTGTTCCTCTCCTAAGTAGATCATTTTCTAATAGAATAGAATCAAGAGAACTAGCTGGAGCAGAAATAACAAATACTTAGAAGAGAAAGAAAAGAAACCAGAAACCAGAAAATTTTTATAATGAAAAATTTCAATGAAAATAAACAAGGACATATATTTTTCAAGAATGTTGCAGTTGTTAAAATGTAGTTAAATAATTGCGAAATAGGAAGAAAAAACACCATAAACAAGGTCTAACGAAGTTCAAATCTTTCTTCGCTCAGATCAGATTATCAGCTGACCCTATGCGAATACCTAAATCATTCGATGAAGTGTTCAACAACGATTTCCCCAAAAATGGCACCGATTTTATTCATTATAGGCCAAGTTTCGCGAGTAATTGTTGTAATTATCTTCGAAGTACATTGATTATATTCACAGCAGCCTCATTGATCCTCATTTTGCTTTAAGTGGCAGTTTTTTTCCTTTAGCGAGATCCCTGTAAATTCCCTGAGCTGAAAATTTCTCATTTATTTGTTGACCACATGAATAAACGATATAAACGATTTTAGTAATTTCTCTTCTTTCTCTTCTTTTCTTTTTTTCTTTTCTGTAATTTCTTTTTGAAAGAATCCTCGCCATTGTTGGTTAAACTCGCTCCACTGGCTTGTCGCATTGGACAATAAGTCAGCGAGTACCTTGACGATAGGAATACAGGTGAGTCGCCAGCATCACTCGGATTTTTGTACAGGTTTACTCCTACGGAGAATCGAATCTCAGAATCGGCGCTCCCAATTGAGCAACAACCCACTCAACCATTCTATCCCAATTTTGGTAATTTATACGTAAGGGAAAAGTAAATGACGATCGGTTTCTTTTTTACCGATAAATTAAATTTCTTGATAATTTCCTCGATTTTCCTTGAAATTTTTCGCTATCACAAAATTCAGTCTTTGCAGATTTCTTAATACAACAAATAAATATATTAAAAGTTAAGAATTTTACAGTTGACGTCACACTTATTCGAATTTGCTGAACAGTTGTCTGTGTAATAATAACATACAGATAGATGGGATGGAAAAATGGAACTTTTACAAAAAAAAATGATATCATTCCAGTTTGATTAAACAATTTATTAGTTTTAAATTGCATCATTTGAGTGATATAACTATTTTTGTTTAAAGCTTCCATTGTGAATCAAATTTTTTTTATGCATTAATATTTGTGCTAATTTTTAAAATTTCCTTTATAAATTATGAAAATATATTTGTGAAAGAAAAAATTTGATCGTAAAGCTTGGAAAATATTTTAGCCAAATTGATCACAAATGGATTAAATCAAAATCAACACAGTGATGTGAGAGAATTATTAGGAAAAAAAACAGGAAATATTTATTGAAATATTTCTATTGAATTTTTTTTTTTTGTTTTCATATTTTTCTCGCATTAATTCTAGAAAAAATTCATAAAAAAAGCTAAAATTCATGCTTTTTTTAAAAATTTATTACTCGTGGTAAGTAAATCTTAAAAAAAGAAAAATAATTTACCTTATTTTTATTGTTTTTATATAATAAAGTTTAACTAGCAAAAAAAAAAAATTTTTGGAATATTTTCAGAAAAATTCAAAAAAATTTGAAAATTCAAAAAAAGAGTTATTTACAAAAATTGGTAAAAACAATTATATTTATTTAATTTCAATAATTTTACATTTATTTTCAATATTTTTTTCGATTTTTTATTCGAACAATTCAGTGCACTCGAATTTAGTTAAAAGCACATAGGCTCTGATTGATATAACTCACTATTTCCGATGAATAGTAGTCAATGAAGCTTGCCAAATAGGAAATGGTGCTAGTTGTTAGAAGGAAAGTCATCCGGATGCTGAGAGTACACTTTTCACTCTTAATGACCGGTTTACTCCTATCAAGGACTAAGAACTGAATTTATGGTAATTATTCGGTATATGGCAAATTTTTTTGTCTGAGGTATCATACTGTTTTATATGACTACGAACTCTCCTCAAATAGTTGCTTCTTTTTCTCGAAATCTATTTGTACTTAAATTTTAAATTGGTCTATAGTAATAATGAAAATAATAATAAAATAATAGCCTTAATAATAATAAAGACAGTAACAGTAATAATAGTAATAATAATAATAATAGCAACAATAATATTAATAAACAATGAAAATTAGATTAAAATAAATGAAAAATTGAAAAGTTCATAAAATTTATTATATGATACAATTGAAACAAAATCGAATGTTCCTTTTTTGAAAAATATTGTTATTGTCGAAATATTATTACCGAATTAATCAAAAAACATAACTTTCTTATCACGTCAACATGAAAAGGAAAACTTGTAATAAAATTTTTGCAACCGGAAACCAATGTCCACCGCATTCAGTTGTTTTCACTTGAAGAGAGACAACGACATTATTCACTGGGAGGTGGGGGAGGGGAGGCGGTATTGTTTGTGGGCGGGGATCGAACTTTCGCTGTTATAAACGATCTGTATATAAGCCAAGAAATATGAATCTCGTGTTATCATTATCACTTGGCAAATTTGGTGTAATATAATATTGTTATTGTTATTATCGTTATCGCCCCTGTCGCGAGCGCGAAGTAATTCACCTCTATTTGAGATAATCATTTGGTCATTTATCTGTTAACGAAGTATTAATCGTTATTTCTTCTGAATTCTACTGCAGTTACAATTAGAAGTTATCAAAAACTGTTTCCTTTATTCTTCGACAAACTACAAAAATATATGGTACCTATAAATATAAATAGCCGACGATTCGCGCTAATTGATTCGGATTTACCATCTACTGATCGTAAACCAACACCTTCATGTAGCCCAGAAATTCAGAATAGCCCATTTGTTTTCCAAAACATTGGACAACCAAAACAATCGCGGATTGATGGCGAAGTTTGGCCCCCTATATTCAAACCTGAATTCATAAGGTGGCAGTTTTCTCAAAGCATTTCGTTTGCTATAAAAAAATTTTTCCTGTTGATTTATTTATTTTTTTCTGATTTCTTTTTAAAGTGATCATTTTTTTTTCATGATTTCTAGGAGCGCTAAAATGATGCAACCTCGCAAAGGCGATGTCTTTGTTTGTACATATCCAAAATGTGGTACAACATGGATACAACATATTTGTTCGCAACTTATGACTGATAATTATGGACCACAAGTTGGACATGGTAAAGGTGTATACATTAGTTAAATATTTGTATGGCGTAAATATGCTTGTTTTTGAGAATGAAATAAAAATTTCGAATTTAATATTATTATCATTTTAAACTATTATTTCGAATTTCAGAATTATGCGTAACAAGTCCAATGATTGAAAGAATGGGAGCTAAATTCGCCGACAATTTAGACAGTCCAAGACTATTAAAAACCCATTTTTCTTGGTACAATTTGCCTAAAAGCACACAAGCGAAATATATTTTTGTTGTAAGAAATCCGAAGGATTGTTTAATAAGGTATAGAGCCTTATATTATTGGCTATATTATTTTACTTCAATAAAAGAAATAACAAAAAAAATTCGCTTCATATTTTTTGAAATTATTGAATATTTGGAAGTGGAGATTTTCCTTAAAATTAATCTTTTTCAGTTACTTCCATCATAATCGCAATTTTAAAATCTACGACTATGAACATGGCAATTTTTCCGATTTCTTTGAACTATTTTTGTCAGACGATATTGCATTTGGCAATTACTTTAATCACCTAAAAAGTTGGCTGCCTCATATAACAGACGAAAATGTTCTTTTTCTTAAATATGAAGAAATGTGCGAAGATCTTCCAGAAGCAATCGTTAGGATAGGTCATTTCATTGGTGGCAAAGCTGCTAAGAAGATTGAAGATCCAACGATTTTGGAGCAAATTGTTTTAGAGAGCACTATCGATTCAATGAAAAAGAATCAATGGCGTTGGTTTCCCGCCGACAATTTGTAAGTTATCAAAAATAAGCATATTTCATCTTATCATTAGCTGAAAAATTAGAATTAATAAACTGATAAAATTTTTTTTGATTATTCGCATCCAAATTCTTGAATAAGTCAACATTGTTGTTTACCAATAGTACATGGAATAAAAATCAAATTCATGAATGAAGTGTAATAATACATTACCATTATTTATCTAATATTACCATCACAAATAAAATAAAATATAATTTATCGGATTTATCAGCAATAAATTAACTGATAAGTTAGAAGGCTTTGAAAAAAGATTTTGATTTACTTGATCAGTGATGTACTTATGTATTTACATTTCGCAATTCAAATTCATTTTAAAAATTTTCATTCCAATTTCAGGCGCCAAAATAATTTTGTACGGAAAGGAGGAAGTCGAAACTGGAAAAATCATATGACACGTGAACAATCAGATCGCATAGATGCTGAATTTCGACGACAATTTGAAGGAACGCTCGCTGCTAATTGGTGGCGGAAAGAAATGGCATGGGAATTAGATGGACAGGAATCTGAATTTCTTCTAAACGATGATGACTTTTATTCTCAACGAAGCAATAATCTACCAACGAATGATGATGATGTCGAAGATGAAGGCATTTTCGATATAAACAGTTCAATAAAGCCTACAGAACCCTCAAAAGCAATCACTATTCCAGTACCGGCTTGGCGGAAATACTCTACTGCATATTCATTGTCATCTGGGTTTGGTTCATTATTTTCCGCACATTCTTCTCTATCATCTTCACCCTTTGATAAGACCACATAAATTTTTTTGAATATTATATCCTCAAAAATATCTGTTCAAATATCTGTTCAAAACTTTGTTGGTGAATCATTATTCATTTCAAAAATTGTGTTCTATAAATCTTTGCGATACGGGTTCTCGCTCTTGTTGCTCAATTTTCAATAATTCCATCAATTCATAAAATATATCGATGCAGTTATCTTTGTTTAAATGAGCCTGATCGCACAATTTTTTTTGAAATTATTACCTAAATCTATCCTTTCTCGGACCATAGTGTAGGCTGTGCCCAATCACTTGTTTTTTTCTTCTTTGATTTGAATTGAATTCATTTCAGTTGACTTCTTCATATTAATACTTTTTGTTACTATTTATTTTTGAAATAAATTGCGCAATTTCTGATGATATATTCTAAGGAGCTTATTTTTATTGTTTTATTATTTATTATTTTGTTTTATTTTCTCCTGAAAGTATTTGTTTATATGGCATCAAAAAAATTTAATAAATATATTGCTATTTTTATTCATTTTCGCTTGTGAGAAATTAAAAGCTGCAAAATGAGTATCCTTAAAATAAGCTATCAACGTATAATATTGCATAAAAATTGGAAAAATCCACCTATCGATAGTCTTTTCACATAAAAAAGGCAAGTGAAAATTCAAAAAAAAAATTGTTTTGAAACGATAATATGCAGTAGAGAAGCGATTTGTTGTTGAAAATAGAATAATGAAGAAGGAGATCCATTTCGATTCACCATAATTTCGTGTGGACACTTTGCTTTTTTTTAAAATCTCTTGCACAAATTAGTTATCGGCCTTTTGCTGGACTACTACGGAGGAAAAGTTGTTTTCTCCTTGTGTAGACAAAAATATCGGGTATCAGGTTGAACGGCAAATACCAGTTTTTGCATGTTTTTTTTTCTTACCTCAGCAAATTGAAGAAATGATATATTAGTGCGAAATGAGTTCTAAAATATTCAACAGACGAAAAATTTCATAATTTTTTCTAAATGATATGTTCACAGAGTTCTCGTTAAAATTAAAAAATTCAGGTACATTTTTTTTATTTTCTTACGAATTATTTTCAGTTATGATCCATTAAATCGTAAATCGTAATTCAAATGACTTATAGGCCTTTTTTTTAACGAAATACTTATCCATTATTTATCACCACTGAAAAATATTCGACTTATTCATTTATTATACAAAATTAATAACATTAAATTATGGCTGCATTAAATTCTATGAAAAATGCAAATGTGTCAAAAAAAATTTCACATTTGACTTGGCATTAACTTGAAAATAAGAAAAAATTTAAGTGAAATATTTTTCGATTCGACTAAAAATTTACGAAAAAAATTTTTTAAGAGGACGAGACAAATGAATCACATAAATGCATCAATTTTAACGAAATCATCGACAACCATTGTTTCATACCATTTATTTATTTAATATAAATATATAAAAAATTTTATTTTATACTTTATCAAAAAAATTTAATATTAAAATATTAAAAAATTTTATAATATATTTTTTATATTCATAAAAAATTCATACGTGGTTAAATAATCGATGAAAATAGCCACTTATTTTCGTTAAAGTGCACTTCATTTATCGCTTAAAATTAAAAAGTTTAATTTTTTTATGACGAACTTTATAGGCCATTTTTTCTTTTCGAAAAAATTCAGTTTTTCGTTAAAAAGAAAAAATTTTTATAAAGAAATTCAATATTTATAACGAATTAATTAAATTGGCAATGATATAATCCTTAAATATAATAAAATTTTTAATATAATAAAATTTTTAAAAACAGTAAAAAAAGATATAATGATATCAAGAATTTAACGAAAAAAAAAACGAATAGCGCGACATTGAATTTACTTTCTTATTTTTCAAAAGATCAAAGAAAAATTTATCATAGAAAAATAGAAAAAATTTTATAGAAAATCAAGGAACAAAATTTTTTTAAAAGATTCTTTTTCATAACAAAAATAACAAATTTAATAAATTTCTATATTATAAGAATAATGCGAATTTTTTAGAAAGAATTCCATTTAATAAATCCTCTTTTAAGATAATCGCAACAATTATTTTTTTTTTAAGAAAAAACTCTATTTTATTTGTTGCAGTGGATCTTGTCTTGAATTTTCCATTAAATATCAACCAACACTCGTTGTCGATTTACGATAAAATTTTATAAAAACTTGTCTGCAATTTCTCATATTATGTCTATTCTCCTTGTAATTAACGCTTTCTTTCAATAACATCGTCATTGTGAAAATTACTGTAATTAATTTCAGTTCATTTGCTGAAAATATAAAGTTAAAGTGTTTATAAAGGAAGAGTTAGAAATTTCATTGAAAGTTTTTGTTTTTTTATTTTCCTTTAAATTTGCGGTTTACGGTTTTGTCTATTAGTTTATCGAGTTCATTGCATTTGCATGTATAGTACAATCACTCTATAACGTCACTCCACTATATCCTCGAAAGATAAAATTTTTGACAAAAAAATATCAATCAATTCACTCAATTCACATTTATATAATCATTCTCTTTATCAAATCAGAAATATTTAAAGAAAAATTTTGTAAAATTATTTCGGAATTTTTATCACTACGTTGGTTGGCTTACAATGATTTAGAAAAAATACTGATAGTTTAAAAAATGAAAAACTAGAAAAATGAATTTGAATTTTATGAATTTTATGAAAATGAATTTTGATTTTATTTTATTCATTTTTTTAAAATAAAATTTAATAAAATTTAAAATTTTTTTAAAATAAAATTGTGTGTGGTTCTGGCGATTCATTTGTATTTCTATCGCAAAGTGTTGAATTGCTGTTAAAATTTTTCAACTCCGACATGCCTTCTTTTCTCAATTAGATCGATTTTAAGTCTTCTGAACCTGAATGCTTCCAATTTAGTCGCTTTTAGTTCCCGTTAGTTCGGTGATATAAACTTGAATTTCACATTAGGCAACCTCATTTTCGGATGATAATATAAAAAAAAGAAAATTCCCATAGCGAAGAATTTTCGCAAAATTTACGGTATATTTAATAAATAATTAATTTTGGTAGCTTTGGCCTTGCTTTTAGTTGTTCATTATTTTATAGGCAATTTATGTGTGGTAAATCAAATTTATAATTAGTTATTATTTTCGGTAAAATCAATAGCTTTTATTCGTATATTCGCATAATACGAGTCATCGTATTATTAAAAGAGAATAAATGGCAAATATTGCTTCAAAAGTTGGCGAATACTTTTTCTCAGTTGGTGGTACATATATATTCTCTCACATATATTTCTTTATAGAAATTCTTGGCTCTCTTCCATTAAAATCAAATTGGTGACGAAGAAATATGAAGTATATACACGAAGTAATTGATTATGGTGAGATCTTGTATATACTACAACTTTTTCTTCCAGTAGCAATCAATCATATCTGGTTGTCTACGTCTGTTATCAAGGCAGAAAATCTTTCACTAAAGATCCAGTTGCATCCATAACATTTCTGAAATTTTATTTTGAATGACAGATGAACGTCAACATCGAATACATGATGGAGACGCAGTCTTAGTCGAAGCAAGATTCGACTATTATTTCCTTATCATTTGGGCAAAAAACGACTCCGTGATAAGAAAATTTACAAGCAAATAAATAAAGAGGACATTCTCCGAAGATCTATCAATAGGAAATAATTTTTCTATTTATGGGATGGGAAGTGAACGCTTGCTGTTGAGCTGAAGATTTATGTAGCATTCACCTGAATTACATGAACAAGTAATTACATGTCTATTTTCAAATCTAATCGATAATAATGTATTATAAAAATTCACTGACCTTTAGAACAATTCATTCCAGCTAAATTCTTAATTTTTCTCAATAAATTCGACAAATTTTGCATGAGATGATAGTGACACTTTCGAGCTGAACTGAAATGTTTCATGAAATTATTAAAGATATTCTGACATATGAAGGGTTTGAAGTTAGTCAGTCTTTTCTCGAGATCGGCTCGGAAATGCCTCAACAAAATGGTTCACATATCTAAATCAAAAATGTGCTATTCGAGAAAGAAAGAATAAAATGCTGATGAATAATTTAAACAAATAATTTAAAATTTATTATTGAAAGAAAAAAAACTTTATCAAAGATATAATAAAACAATCGTTTGATAATATTGCAGTAACTAAGAATAAAATGGCTTAGTGGATTGTTTCTTCTCCATTGCGGAGCACCGTTGCTACAGTTCTATTCTCGACATTCTAATCTAATCTGTCTTTCAAAAATCCCAGTGATACTAGTGCGATTCACATGCATTCATTCCGGTAAGTGACCACCATGTAAAATTTCTCTAATCCAGTAAGTCATCTAAACGAGCCATCGCGCAATCCTATACGGCTACGATTATATTTACCTTTCCCTAAATAGCCGCCAAGCAGATAGTTTCTCGTATAATGGCAATCATTTTAGCTCGAACATAATTTGCATTTATAACATCGTTATAAATTGTGCGCTAGCCAGTCCATGTGCCAAAAATGGTGAATTCGAAAAAAAATTTGTTAATCACATGTCTGCGAAAAAATTCAATTCTTGCTCTCTAAAATGTCGGCATTTTTCATTTATTTACATTCTCTCATTCTATATACAATTTTAAGCAACCGATGAACATCGTGACACATTGATAGATCAATTTGATAGATCATATTGCTTTAGGCGATTTGCCAATTTTTTCTTATCATTTATGCGACAACCAGGAAATACAACAAGAATCGACCAAATGACCTAAGTGATGAAATATGATGCAATCTGTCGTAAGCAAAATCACCAAATTTGATTGAAATTAAATGCACATACACATCAGCCATCTATTTGATTAATAACAGATCCCTTTACTTTTTTTCTTTTTCTTTAAATAATAATGAAAATTGCCAAAAAAAAGTTAAATATGCATTTAAAATATCGCTCACATAATAATTTTTTAAAATTATTATTTTTAAAGCTTTTTATAACAAAAAAAATTTACCGAA